ATCTCTTTTTTGTTTTGTCAAGGAACTGCTTTATGAAGTCAGTTCAGTGATACTTCTACTATTTTCATAAGTTCATACTGTTTCTCACTTCTTCCTACCCGTTTTCTTCTCCCTCTTTCCTGAAGACTTCTTGTGCCTCTTTTTGTTTGTTCCTCAACTTTTTTAAGAGGGAGGGGGGGGGAGGCGAAATAATGACTAAAGACGTATCAATCGGAGTTGAATTTCTTTTTTTCAGGATTTAATCGTCAGTACAGAGATTTTAATACTGTGGTGTTAAAAACAATGGAAACATCTGTTGCGTTTTTTTTTTTTTTTGGTGGGAAGAGGAAAGGGTAGGGGATATGTGAAGTGTTTTGGGGAGAAACACATAAAAAAATTTATCATGATTTTTTTGCTGATCTGTTGTTGTTTATTTTTCTCGTATAGACTATGAGAAGTGTGCAAAAAAAAACAAAGGTTACTCAAGAAACTATAAATTTCTTTGTTGTTACCTTGTTTTTGTTTTTCTCTTCTTCGTTCTCCTTTTTTGATTATGACTTTATTATATCACTTTTGGTCGTTTTTCTCATTCGTTTGCCGCTTTTTTTTTTCTTTTGAAGGAACTGTTCACATCACTTTTGGACGCACTTGTCGATTTCGGTGCTTTTTTTTTTTCTTCGCTAAAGTGTACTTAATTTTTGAAGAACTTAAAAAAAGTCAAAAAAAAAGAAAGCAGAACAAAGTACAAAGAAATTACTTTTTTTGGTTAAACTCTTATCCTCTGTGCAACAAACGGTTCCCATTATGTGTTTGACGAGCACTGTTAACAGCACAGTCAATGTCAGCTTAACAGCTTTATAAACAGTATTCGGGGAGTGATTATTGTTTCTGTTCAAAAAAGAAAGCTGGTAATTTTTATTACTTTTACAAAGGTTTTCAAAAAATAAAATTTTTTTTCACATTATTATTAATGGCTGTTGTAGTAACTGCTGTTACTTTTAGCTATATTTCTTTTACGTTAATGAACAACTTTAAATGAGAGACAAGCGAACAGTTTTTTTTTTTTT